CTGCCTTTCCATATATCTCAAAAGAGGATTTTTCGAACGGCAGCATATAACAAAGTCGTCAACATATAACGAGCTGTCTATGCTGTTTTGGAGGGTTTTTACTATGGAATTTATTTTAATTTCGAATAGGAGAGGAGAAAGGATGCTCCCCTGGGGGACCCCTTCCTCCTGTCGGTGGGTGTCTGAAACGGAGGATCCGACACGAACCTGGAAGGAACGGTTCTTCAGGAAGTTGCCAATGAAGGCAGGGAGGTGACCGCGTATGCCGAGTGCGTGCAGGTCTCGAAGAATGCCGTACTTTGATGATGATAATAATGACTTGCTTTTCTTTTTCCGAGCTTCGGCTCTTTCCGATATTCTCCAAATCGCATCAATATGTAATTTATAGTGAACGCTTTGTTGCTATGGTGTCATCACTTTTTTTCTCAGATACTATGTTCCTGATGAGCCTTATTGGGGAAACGTTGAACATCTAGGCCTATACGAACATCAGAATAAATGACACCAACCCTTTTCAAGTCTCGAGTATATTTTTATTCTACTTTAAAATATGATGATGACGATTTTTTTGTTTTGTTTCCTTAATGGGCCTGACGGACTTCATGAAGAAATCTTCGAACGAGAGCGAGGCTCTTTTTCGGCTCCATTGTCAATATGCTTAGCGGCACCTCCACTCGTCCAAATAACTCCATTCCAATTGCCATTGTTCCGGGACATTCACACATATGTTTGATTCCTCCTTTTCATGGCCGCATCTTGGGCAACATGGGCTCAGCTTTTCATTTACAAAGTTCTTATACCATCTTAAATTTCAATGATGGTCCGACCGCAGTCTCGCTAGCTCAACCTGGTCCCAGCGACATGTGATAGATTTTTGTTCCCGCTTATAGGAGTACCTAGAATACACATCTTCCAGGTGCTGGTACTTAGTTCTACATGGTGGGTCTCTGATTTCCCTCTTGATAATTGGAAAGACTCTTCTGTATGTCGTTGGTCGTCTGTGATGATGATGATGATGATGACGATGATGATGATGATGATGATGATGATGATGATGATGATGATGATGATGATGATGATGATGATGATGATGATGATGATGATGATGATGATGATGATGA